GTGTGTGTGTGTGTGTGTGTGTAAGTGTGTGCGCGCGCGCTCATGCACCCGATGCTCGCATGCGTACAGTGCGTACGAGTCGCGCTGCTGCTGTTCCTGCTGCGGTTGCTGCTGCTGTTGCTGCTGCTGTTGATGATGTTGTTGTTATTGTTTATCGGCTGTGTTCACGTATGCCGTAGCAACAGCACACGCACGCGTCGGGCGCGCGACTCCTGTGTGTACACACGCGCCGAGCCGGCGGCAGCACGCACGCAGAGTGTGAGAAGTCGAATGATAAATTTAGGCTCTCGCGTCTGCTCATCCTCTTCCAGCAGCGCTCTCTGAATCCTCCTTCTTTACAACTGTACACACACACGCGCGCGCGCGCGAGGGTGGGAAGGAAGCGAGGAAGCGAGCCGAGTTGTTTACGTGTCGTGTATTTAGCTTGCGCACCGGTGTACACGACCTATAGCCTAATGACCGGCGGGAGGGAAGCGCAGTTGTTGTTGCTAGCCCCCACTCCCACCCACCCCACTCTACCCCGCCGCGCACCCGAGTAAAAACATCCCCACGCTGGGACGATCGCTGTGTCGAGTTGGCTCGGGCACGTTAACAGGCTCGCCGTTCGTTACCCGCTCGTGTACATTAGTTGTTAGTACTTAGTAGCGGAAACTCACGCCGCGTCGAACGTAAACAATAGTACGACGCCGACAGGCGTACAGAGAGAGAGAGATGCCGAGGTCGCTGGCGGCTTCCAGCACAGCAGCAGACGCCGAGATTAAATTACGCAGGCACAGTGCAGCGAGCGAGTGAGATCGCGAGTGAGTCGCCACTTACCTTCGATACGCACCGGCGCATGTCATCAGCAAGCAGGCGTTCGTGTTCAACCCCGGCAGCGTCGCGGTGGCTGTCGCCTTCCGAGTCATCATCTCATTTACGTGCTCATATCGACGCATCGGCGGCTGGCTTCACACACACACGCACACGTACGCACGCACGCACGCACGCTTCCTAGGAAGCGGCACTGCTGATATTATTAGAAGTCGAACGGACGGTCCGTCGGTCGAGGCGGTGATGGGAGGTACTTGGATCAGCGGCAGGGGGCGCTCACACAGAGGATGAGGAGCACGTGTGTTCGCGGTAATGCTCAGAGCTTAGCAGGCTCGCACACGCCGGCTCATCGGCATAGCCTCCTCGTGCGGTCGCTCTCCTCGGCGGCAGCTGCAGATCGATGCGCCTCCATATCGTCTCCTGCCGGAGCGCGCTGCCCGCCAGCCTTTATATATAACGCGCGTTACCATGGCAACGCAATTAAGGAAGATTCTAAACGGAGAGGCAGAACGCGGCTGCGCGCGGCGTTGGGAGCTGTGCGGAAGCAGTTGCCGCAGCTGCCCCGGCTTCGCGAAACTTCAGACGAACAGCCTTGAGGCTTACGATGCTCGTCACCCTGTGCGGCAGGGCTGTGGCGTGCCCCGACGCACAGCGATGCCGGTTGGTACCGATGCCGAGGGTATGCGTGGAAGAAAGGGAATCGAGCCAAAGTTCGCAGTTCGTCGACTATTGTTTGTCATCGCAGATGACTTACTGATGACGGGAGGTGGCTGTGAAAAATAAATTGTGTTTGTAAACGAACCGTTTTAATAGTGGTGTGATGGTATGAGTCACTTTTTATAATTATGTACTGTAGCGGCTTTAATTGAGACAGGGGGCACACAGGCAAGGAAAGACAAAGCACAAGAGCGAGAAGAGAACGATAGGGTAGCAAGGCAATGATGGGGGGGGGCTGCGAAACTAGAGGTAAAAGACACGCGAATGGTTGCATTTTTGTGCGAGATTCAATAACGTAGGGGTTTCGGTAGGGCGAGCGAGCAGAGTAGAAAGAGAAAGGGTAAAGGTGTGATTGAATTTAAACAGAAACTCGTGAAACGGGAGATTCACTTTCAAAAATCTATAATTAAAAAATGTGAAAATCTTAGCATGAGAGAGACTCTTAGAGTAACAACTGTAAATAGCATGGATAATTTACCGGAAATGAAACTAGATTGAGTTTGCAGATTATACGCAAGTTATATGGACTTTGTCTGGCTTCAAAGATAAAAATTAATTGAGATATGGTGTTTCGGAACATATAAACCAGTTCTATTAAAATATAATTACTATACCTTATCTATCAATACGTACTTGTTACTGAGCAGAAAATTGAGCTAGAACTTTTATTTCTAATAGCACCAGAATCGTTACATGATGTAAACCGATTCTATTACCACAAAAAAGTGGCTTCCTTAATATGTATGAGCGAAGCCTTACTAAAACTGTTGCAAGGCTGAATCACTACAATAGTGTATATATTACTCACATTCAACAGAAAACTTCATTTCACTGTATCTCTGTAATAGTTGCAGCAATGTTTATACGAGAGAAATGTAAATCTATCTAACCACAATTTCGTTTGAGCAATGTTTGCTATATGGTTGTAATTGTAAAGATGTTTAAACAATTGTGAAATTAAAATGACCAACGTTCGCAATTAGTTAATGTTTTCAATAGAATTTGTTGAAAAGAACCATCGTAGCTGGACAGATTTAATTAAGTCTAAGTAGATTATGTTAATGCGGCTACTAACTTTGTGTGGTTGTTAAGCATGTAAGCTAATGGAAGATTTATAGCGGTAATGACGAGTTTTATTTCGTGTGGATCTGTGAGTCAATTCAGTCGGAATACGAACTGCACGCCCTCTGTAGGATGAATCGCAAATAAAAAGGTATAGCATGAGTAATATCATCGCTCTTAGTGCTTTAGCGCTCATCGCTCTTTAGTGCTCTTAGAATTAGTGCTACTCATCTGGTGTTAAAATACACACACACACACACACACACACACACACACACACACACACACACA